AATTTATTAACGTTAATCAGTGGAATTAAATTATGAACATAAATACTTATCTAAATACTTGTTTACAATTAATTACCTAGTACTCTTTAAATAATTTCATGAGATAAGATTATGCAGGCTTCACTAATTTGGAATGGGTATTGTATTTCACGATTCCTGAGCATTGACCAGTGATTAAGTTATTACTTATCACATTTTAGTAGTCATGACCTATTTTGCTATAATATTTCCCTGGCATCTATTGCTATTTTATGCTTACCACGCGAAAGAACTGACATTTATCTTATTTTAATATATTTCGAGAGTTCAGAAATTTATTTTAACATTTAAAAGGGAGCGATCAATTCTGGCCTTTTAATTATTTGTTTGACTTCTATTTTCGTACTGAACTTTCTTGATCAGTGGTAAGTTTGCTCCCTTTCGCACCTCGTCTTTTACTATAGTCATTTTAACTAAACTATGCAACTCTTTATAGAGAGACAAACTAAAAATAGAAAAAAATGGAACTACGAATATATATATTTAACTTAACGTTAAAATGATTTAAATTCAAAACAATATACTCGATAGCATTTTAAAAATTCATTTAATTTTATAACTTTAGTACATTTTAGAATTTTATTACGGATTTTAAATTTACAATAATCTATTTTGTCAATATTAGGTTTTTGCAAATTACTGTCGGTGAAATGGACTGTCAGTGAAATGGACTGTCGGTGAAATGAACTGTCGGAAAAGTGAATTCGGGAAAATAGATTGTCGGGAAAATAAAATGTCGGAAAAATGAGTTGTCAAAGTAATAGTTTGTCGGTAGACTGACGTCGGCAATACTGGTGTCGGTCAAATAGCTGGCGGGGAAATGATTATATACCGAAATTTTCATGCATGAAATTTGTTAAATTTTGTACTACGTACGTATATTTATTTTCCTGATGTAGATGTAAAAATATTATGTAAAATTCTAAAATATATGCTACGTAGACAAAAATAATTTAGAGCTACTTAATTTTATTGTTTAAAATTTATAGCATATTATACCCTGGTCACTATATCAAGATCGTAGGGCATAAATCAGTTATACACTGGGTTTTTTGTTTATAAGCGGAATTTCATTCCGCTTATACCCAAGACACCCAGTATATAACTTATTACTTATTATGTATATAGTTATTAAATAAATCGACCAATAGTTTATAATTCACAATGAAGAGAATTCATCACTTTTTAAATAATAAATAAAGACTAGCTTAAATAAACAAAAAGACAGAATATTAAATGAAATTTTTACAAATTTATATATTTACAACTTATTGAACGAAATCATTTGAAGTATTAATTTTCATTTCCTTATCATCATCAATATAAAAGCTTCCAGATTCACCCATAGTATTCGTAAAATCGACATCAAAAGCAAACAAAATATATTCATAATCATCAGAAGGCCAATTTTCACCAACAGTAAAATCCATTCCTCCAGCACCAAATTTCTAAAGAAATAAAAAAATTAATTAGTGAAATATAAATTTTGATAAAGACTTGAAGAAATTCCATTGTATTTAAGAGCTTACTGTTGTTTCGTCAAATACTTTTATCCATGTGTCCGTACTATTGGATCCAGCGACAATAATCACTCTTACCACTGTATCAACTGTTCGTATTCATAAATTAATCAAATTTTAATTAAAAATTATCTTATATTTAGTCAAATTTTAAGAGTTTAGATTTCCCCGACATTTACACTAAGGCCGTTCTCAAACGCTTCCCTCAATGGGTTTATCGGGTGACCTGATTGACTGATAAAATTGGTCGTCATTTACGAAAAAGCCCGCACAAATATTTTTCATAGACTTAGTTGATTAACTGAAATTAAAATCCGCAAATTACATTGAGGGAGTTGCCTGAGAACATATTAACTCTAAATACCCTAGCTGTCGGGGAAAAGTGCATCTTTAAATGTATAATTATAATAAGGTAAGGAAAGTCTTTATAGTAAACTGACTTTTTCACATTCCCAAATTGTTTAAATATTGCATATTAACATTACAATAATACGTAGGTAGCAATGCAGTGTTCAGAACCAACAGTTTATAAATTAGACGACAAATCTAAAAGCTTAGGCTTTACCAAAACTATCTAATAAATTTATATTTGCGCACCATTTCCTTTTTTTTTTTTTTTTAAAAAAAAAAAAACTTACCAGTTAAAGAACTAAGACTACAAGGATAAACTTTCCAAATAGCCCTTTGTGTACTTCCATGATGAACAATAGTCCCATAGTCAGGTGAGATTATCTTGATTTGACACGGGTCGTCTCCCCTTTTTTTTAATTTTGATGCATTAATAACGAACACGAATGCTACGTAAAGTATTAAAATTGTTCCAAAAATTGAAGGTTTCATTTGTTGTAAAAAATTTTCCGGACGTTTTTTTCTCGGACAAAGAATTCAAATCTTAATAATAAACGGAACATAGATTCAAATACAAAAATAAATAAATAAATGGTCAAATTTTGACCGTTTTGATGGGCTTACGCGACTTTAAGTCACATGAGTATAAAATATTTGTAACGATTACGTTATAAAATTATTTTTAAAGAACAACCAGCACCAATGTCTATGTTGACTGTATAGTATGAATGAAAACATTATTATTTAAAAATAAAAATACTAGTTATTTTAAAAGTCTTGGTAGTGGGTTGTTTTATTGTATATAAAATATTTATGATTCTAAATCACATGACCAAATAAATAAAAAAGCCATCTGTTCTAATATTTTTTTACTGATTCATATCCTTTTAATTTGTATTTTCAAATTTTCAATGGAAAAATTTCTAGATATTTCGAAAACGAAGTATATAATAAATAAATATTTAAGTGATGAAACAATCCCTCAGATTTATTACCAATAAAAAGTTCCCGTTTGAAAATCAGGTGTAACGTGATATCAAACCAATCTTTTATTCTTTGAGGTTAAGGTCGGGATTAGGCCGATATTAGGGTTTGGACAAGGCATACTTTATACCAAAATTTTGCAAGGAATTTTTTTTCTTAGAACATGAAGAAAACTTTTATAAGCAAAATTTTGAGTTATTATGATTTTCTTTAAAAGCATTTGATGATCCTGAAATTTGATTGGCTTTACAGGTTGCAGTTACAATAACCGGGGTTATAAAATTATTAACCCTAAAAAGTTTTATCTTTTTAAAATTTAAATACAATTTGCTGTTTACTAAAACAAAAAAAAACTTTTGTTAAACTATCAGAGAGTAAGCATCGTGACCTGAGTTTTTTTTTTTTTTTTTATACCTATTGCTATGACTTTTTCATCGGCCCGTATCACCAATAGTTACATCAATCTTTGAGCTTCAACACAGCCTATATAAACAAATAGTCAACATAGAATCGAACAATATCAAAATCAGAATTGAATTTTAAAATAAAACTTATATGAACTTTCTTTATAATTATTTTTACATCTTACAAAACAACTTTCTACAATACTACACCCATTTGCTAAAATCAGATTATGTACATAACGATAATTATCGTGAGTAATATCAAATTTGTGGCTACACAAATATCAATTCTTACTAGTCTACAAATTCAGCAATTCAATTGGCCCAAGATCATATGATAGTTAAACGTAAGTTGGCTCACTACGTATAAAATTGAGGTTTGGACTCACTCTGTATATTTTCTTATATTATTATGGTAGATCCCGGTTCTTGTTTTGTTTTACGCTTTTATAACCTTGTGACGCGTGGTTACATCAAATTTATGAGCACTTAGAATATAATTAATTCAATATTTTCAGAGAAAATTTCTGGCAAAGGCCCCATATTATTAAGGATATCGGCGTAATAATCTAAGAAAAAATTTTCTTGACCACAACTTAATTTTATTAACATAAAGTGAAAGACACCGTTATAAATGGGAAAAATATTTAGAAAGATTGGAAACAAACAAAGCGAATGGGAACAAATTCAAAGATGACAATGGTACGTAGTATTTTAACTAGGATTCATTTCAATTTTAGATGAACGAAGACTCCAAATTCAATAACAAAATTATGCCTTTGTATAAGATGTGTCTTTATTTAGATGAACGCAAAAAGAAATATTTTAGATCATTAGAAAGATGAATGTTAACATCCAAAGAATTTAATGAAGCGGTTATGTTCACTTTGAAAAATTCAATTAAGCACTTTCAAAAAAAAAAAAACTTGGGCCTACAGTATGATTATACCCAAATTCTTATATTAATATAGGTTTATTGAGGTTGTTTGATTGAAATAAAGATAAAAAAATGCATATTTAACTGAAAAATAAAAAATCAAGAGTGTTATTCCGGAGCAAAAATTTTTCTTCAAACAAATAACCAATACATGTGTTGCCATCTACATGTAACACAGGACTAAAATATTCTTCAATAATCATTCTACGATAACAGATAAATATGTACGTATACAAATGTTTTTGAATTTTTTTAATAAATTTTTTAACAATTATTTTTTTTAACAATTTTTATTGTTTATAGTCCCCGATAGTTGAATCGTAACAACTACTATTCATCAAAATAACTTACTGAAGACTTTTTTTTTAGCTACAAGCATTATGTCCATAATATAAAAAAAAAAATGATCTCAAATTTGTAGCCGTTATTACAGATACATTAACAAACCTTCGAGCCACCAGAAAAAAGTACAAAAGAAAAATATTCATTATTGTATTTACACAATGCTATTAACTAATCGATTCGAAGAAAAGCATTAAAGATTAATAAGTATGGTATAAAGATAAGGTCTGATGGCTTAGAAATTCATTGGGAATCATAACACTTACAATGCCACAAATAGTGATGCGGTAAAATCGTCTCAATACGACCAGTTACGGTTACGGTAAAATCCGTATAATCCCATTGTGTCGTAATAATAATCAGATGTGTAACTTTAATTAGATGCGTACTTTAATTAGACGCGGAACCTTAATCATGTAACTTCGTTTAGTTCTGTAATTATTGTAATAAAAATATTATAACTTATAGAATAAAATTTGATTAATGATAAAAAATTTTTTTGTGAAACTATTACACTCAAAGATATTACAAATCGCATCTTAACCAAACAGTTTTTTTTCACATCAATCTTCTTTTTTTTTTTTTTTTTTTTTGATTCAAAGTAATGATGGTAACAATCAGTTTAATTGGGCACGCGAAAAATCACAATTACTTAAGCATCATTTGGCTCGTGAATGTCCGAATGTTCTACAAAAGCATCATTTGGCTCGTGAATGTCCGAACGTTTTACAAGATTTGGCAAAATTTAGTGAAGTAGGAAAAGTCTAAAAAAAGACGACGCAAAATAAAGGAAATATCTTTCGAATGTTTTCGGGAATGTTGTAACTTAGTATAATTTTTATTTTTGTACATAATTTTTGCTATCGCTATATATATTCACTATATATATTATGTAAATACAAATATATATACATGACTAGCTATATATCAATACATTAATTGTTGTGCCTAACGGTTTTACCACAAAATCCCGAAAGACATATTCCCGAAAGGACCTAATACCGACAAGGTTAGCCGGCATTAGTTATAATGTTGGCCAATTTAGTCGGTATTATACTCTTTCGGGAAAATGGTTTTCGGGATTTTGTGGTAGAACCGCTAATATTATATGTAGTGTAGGCTTAAATTAACCTAAAAATTGGTTTATATATGCGATTAAAAAAACGGGTGCACTAAAAATGCAGGGTGCACGGCTTACTAACTTCCTTTGAATAAAATGAGTGTTATTATATAATATTTAGTTGAAATTAATACATAGCGATAGCGCTTTGGAACTCATTTTAATTCTAAATTGATATAGTCATTTTGGTATCATAAGAAATATAACTTATTAAGCAGCATTAACGTTAACGTTAAAGATTTATTCCAGCGTTATGTTTGGTAATGCACAGTCATGACGTCTAGTATATGTATATTATTTTACACCATGGACTGCAATGTTATTGTTTTTGCCTAGTTGTTTTTATTAAAAATATATAATTATATATAAAGTTTAGTAATAAACAATTTTACTTAATACTTGAAATCAAGTTATCATAATAAAATTTAGAGTTTTGGGCATTTATTACCGGTATTATTTTTTGAGTAACACGTCCATTGACAACACTAAATTGTAGTCTTGTCAAATTTGTTTGAGATAAATTTTAATTTGTTTGAGAACAAATTTATGTTTCATTTTTGATATTCTAACTGTAAATGTATGAAAAATATATAATATCTAACTTTAAATTTTGTGTTTTCATAAGAGTATAAAGTATCGGTAATGAATTTTCGACTATTCATATAATCGTTAACCATTGATAAAAAATAACGAATTATTTGAAGGAAGCTACGTTAAATAATTTTTTTAATTCTTTAAAATCATAAAAATTTATTAACAGATAAAGAAAATTTATATAATTAAGAATAATAAAAAATGTGAATTGGATTTGCAATAAAAATTTTATTCGTTATATCAATAATTATAAACGCTCTTCACAATATTCTCTTTAAAATAACAATTACCAATTTCTATAAATAGAATCTTTATTGAATTTTTTTTTTTTTTTTTTAAAAAAATATATATATATAATAACACAAAAAAATTCAACATGAATTGTTATTGACAAAAAATAATTTAAACATTATTTAAAACCTGATACGCTTTATCCTTTAATTCCGGTCGACCATCAACAACAGGTAATTTGAAATATACAGGAACAAAATCTTCTTTCTTCGCTTTTGCCTCAGCC